CGAGCCACATCAGCCGAAGTGGTTGATGACAGTGGAACTGCCTCCGGCCACCTAGTACTTCTGTCCTCCATCGTCAGGAGATAGGTAAAACCTCTGGAAGGTGGAAGCGGCCCCACTAAGTCCACATGCACATGTTCAAACTTCCGTTGCAGAACAGGAAAGTGCTCCAGTAGAGCCTTAGTGTGCCGTTGGACCTTGGCATGCTGGCAAGCCAAACAGGAAGCCGTCCATGTCTGTACATCTTTCCGGAGTCCCGGCCACACAAACTTTGCCCCTACCAGTTTAACAGAAGCTTTGACGCCCGGGTGTGAAAGGGAATGAACTGCCTCAAAAACCTGCTGACGCCAACTAGAAGGGACCAAAGGCTGAGGTTTGCCAGTCGAGACATCGCAAAGAAGGGTTGCGCCACACTCATGAAAGGAGACCTCCTCTAAATGCAAACTGGATTCAGCTGCTTTAAAGGCCAGAATATCCTGGTCGGTCAGTTGGTCTGTGGCCATGGCGAGGTAGTCCACACCTAAATGCACAGAAGCAACCCTTGCTCTGGACAGACAGTCAGCCACCAGATTATTCTTGCCAGCCACATGTCAGTGGTGAACTCTGAAATGGCAGACAAATGCCGTTGTTGCCGAGCTGACCACGGTTCAGAAACTTTTGCCATAGCAAAAGTGAGAGGCTTGTGGTCAACAAAAGCAGTAAAGTCCCTGCCCTCCAACATGAAGCGGAAATGGCGTGTTACCAGAAAAAGGGCAAGCAGTTCCCTGTCAAATGTGCTATATTTTTTTTCAGCATCCTGGAGTTTCCTGCTAAAAAAAGCAAGGGGTTGCCAGGCACCATCCACCCATTGCTCACAAACTGCCCCAACTGCATAATCAGAGGCGTCAGTTGTTGGAGCCACAGGAGCAACTGGAGATGGATGGGCCAAAAGCACAGCATTAGCCAAGGCCTTCTTGGCATCATCGAACGCCTGCACCCTCTTGGGGGTCCACTCTAGCTGCTGGTCCCCTTTTTTGCCTCGAAGTGCTTCATACAAGGGGTGCATGAGGTGAGCTGCCCGTGGGATGAAACGGTTATAAAAGTTAATCATCCCCAAAAACTCCTGCAGGGGCTTCACTGAGGGAAGGCGGGGAAAAGCGGAAACTGCTTCAACCTTTGCAGGCAGGGGAACCGCCCCTTGAGAAGACACTTTGTGATCCAGGAACTCAACAGCAGGCAGTCCAAATTGGCATTTAGCTGGGTTCACGATCAGGCCATGTTCACTGAGCCTAACAAACAGCTGATGAAGGTGCACCATGTGTTCTTCCACAGAGGGACTAGCCACCAGTATGTCGTCCAAATAGACGAACAAAAATGGCATACCCTGCAGGACCGAATCCATAAGCCGCTGGAAAGTCTGCGCTGCGCCTTTAAGACCGAAGGGCATCCGTAAAAACTCAAAAAGACCAAAAGGCGTGATAACTGCGGTTTTGGGTACATCTAAGGGATGCACTGGAACCTGATGGTAGCCTCGCACCAAGTCCACCTTAGAGAACATGGTTGCTCCAGCCAGGCGGGCAGATTCTCCTTGAGAGCGCCGTATTTGTTAGCGGTTGGTGGGTTCCTCAGCAGACCCATCAGACAGCGCGTTGAAACGGAATCCAATGCAGCAACTACATGGAAGTACTTGGTCTCATCTGTGGTTAACCCCGGAGATGGAACTGGGCTTCCACATGCTGGAACCATGGTTCTGGGTCGTGCTGCCAGAACTCTGGAAGCTTCATAACGGCAGCAAAAACAGAAACGGCGGTTGGAGCAACGGCCGCCTGGCAAGAAACTGGGTCCGAAAACACAGCTGGCAGAGAAGCGGCGGCAGCATCTGGTGAGTTCTCAGTAAAAAACATGTCCAGATGTTTGCAGATGTTCGGGGTCACCAATGTGGAAGTCAGCAGAAAAAGACGAAATAGTGATTTGAGTCTTGTTTAATTCTCAATGTCTTCCAACAAAACCAAAAATCGAATGAATAACAACCATTGGTGTCTTCACACCTCACCTTCTCCCCTTCACAATAAAAGCATACATTCTGGTGTGAAATATATACATTGTCCGGCACAATATATATATATTGTATCCGGCACAATACTATATTAAGAAATTGTGTTTAAGCCTCGGTGCTACATTTTGAAACAATGCAAGTTAAAAACAATATTTCGTGTATGTATGTGTCTATATATATATATATATATATATATATATATATATATATATATATATATATATATACTGCCACCCCTGAAAAAATTTCTGCCCCCCTCTTGCCACCCCATAAATATTTTTCTAGATCCGCCCCTGATTACAAATGTACACAAAACTGTCAATGATCCGCTAATGTTGAAAATTCTAGAATTTCACAATAGTGTTGTTTCTATTAAACAAACACAATTGAAAAAGTTTGTTCACACTGCAAGTCATTAAAAAACATGCAGCACCATCATCCACCAACTACATAGCAGTTTTGTAATTTCAATTTGTACAATTGAAATGAATGGAAACACTCCAATTTAACAAAAACTAAAAGTTTTTCAATAAAACAGCTTTTGCACTAGGATGGGTTTTTCAGCCATATGGAAATAGATGTATTTTGCTAAGTTGCAATGGAAACACTTTTTAATTCTAATTTCATCTCTTATTTAATGGAAACATTGCAATTGCGAAATTGTGTTTAGCGGAACACAGACAAAGATTTGCGCACATTTGTAATGGAAATGCAGCTAGTTATGTACCATCGTTTCCTCCCGCCAGCTTTTTTCAGTAGGAATGCCGGAGTCAACCCAGCAGTGATGAAGATTCCTTGTTTCTGCTTCATGGTGTTACAGAGATGGATGCCGTTGTTAAGCACCACCCAAGAAGATGCAGCCTGCAGTCAACACCTCCTCAGGGACCGGCGCCATTATCGCTGTGACTGAGATGAGTTACGTTGTCAATGTAGGCCCATTTAAAACCACCTTTTGTTCCCGGGACATGAGTCCTGGGACTCCGCACCCCTACCGGAGGTGGCTTGCTCTCTCTGCTGGGGTTTCACATTGATTAAGTGACAGGAGTGTCTGTCGTCGTTTTTCATTTTCCGAGTAGCTTCCATATTCCTCTCCTATCTGTGTTGGACCCTGACTCACCGTCTGTGGTCAGTTTCACAGAATCAGAGGATTCCTTTTGCAATTAATTTCCTTTGCCAACAGACATTTATAAAGAGCCCATAGGCTCTGGTTTAATAAACAGCGTTGACAGATTATATGAGACAATTGACTAGAATTTGATTAATCAACTTGTTGCCAGTGTAGCAAGTGTCCCCTATTGACCCTGGGGGGTCTAGGAAACTGTTTAAGACTGATCTGGGTCATTTTTTTTAACAAGCCAATTTATTTCAGCTGACATTTAACAGTAATAAAAGGAAGTCTATTAAGGCTTGAGCTCTAGACAGGATGAGACATTGACACCATTTTTATACACATTTTGTATGTCTGTAGGCTAAAAGAAACAGAACAGAGCAATAATCACCAAGCACATTTTAAGTTGTTGAAATAAACTAAAAAATAACATTTAAACAACCAGTTCCCACTTTAGAATCCCTCATGTTTGTGCCTTGGAAGGACTTTTTGTGCTTCCACAACTTCATTTAATAACAGTACATATTTGGCCCTGCAGCACAGACATTTGATACAGATCAGTTTTAGGGTTGATAAATTCACAAAAAATGTATCCATTGTTAAAATGGAAATTGTTAAATACAACCCAAAGTTTATTTTTTGTCAGCCATTTTTTTTTCAGTTGAATTTTTAAAAAAAGACCACAATCCTCCAGCATCTTTCATAGAAGAGTGGATTTGGGCGCATCTGTTCATTCCACTTGCCAAAATACTGCACGCTCATTCAAAGACTGAGTGACTTATATTTGTTTCTTGTTGAAAGAACAGTTTAAACCCCTTTTGTTCTGATCAAGCAGTCTATCTCCAGTGGTCACTGGGTACGCCCTGGACAGGTCTGCAGTCCAGGGTGTTAGCCTGTAATGACAGGCTAACACAAATACATACAACCATTCAAACTAAACTACACAAAGAACAATTTAGAGAGATCAGTTAACCTTAGTCATGTTTTTGGACTCTGGGAATGAAAAAAATGTCCCCCATAAAGACATTTCAACCAACAAATGTAGCCCATGTGGCAAAAAGTTTGAACACAACCACTCTAAAGTAAATGTGACTGAGACTTTTTTTTTACTGGGCAATTTTATGTAGTATTGTTCGGGCACCTGGTGTCATTTTATAACAACATTAAGTGATTATTGCCCCTTTTCCACTGACTCTACATTGGTAGTTGATTTTAACTACTCATTATGTTTAATTATGATTCATCTGAGGTTCAGATTATCCTGAACATTAATAAAGCTGTGTTCCTTCTAATCTGACTGATGGTTCTAGTTTTGATCAATGTTGTCACATATTAGCCAATAAGACTCGATTGGGGGCTTAAAAGTTTATACTCATAATCTTCAAATAACAAAATGAAATTCAGTAATGAGTTCAAGGTTTGGACACATTTTCTCACTTAGGGGCTGTTAGAGATTTTTTGGCATTATCATTTTGTTATTACTTTAGTTCATATTCAGTCTAATGTTAATCAACATTCAGTATTATTGTGATTTTCAGTTTAAAGTGTTCTCTTCCTTATGTGTGTATAAACTGACCTGGAGGTCACATCTGCCTGTTCGTCTTCCTGTGAAACAGTTATCTGTGTGTTTCCCAGACCTTAAATTACTTTCCACAGGTGCCTCCTTATCAACCGGAATACTCCCTATTTTAGAAACTGTCTGTGTGCAGTAGTATTTTTTGTCTCTGCTGTCTTCCTTACCTGTCCTCCTTGTTTTTACTTGATAATAAAAGACAAGCTGTAACCAAGAGTCTTTAGAACGCTCAGTGAACGGCTCGGAGGAGCTGTTTGCTGAGACTTCTCCTTTTGCAAAAGCTTGGTCATAAAATTCATATACGTTGTCTGTGGTTCTTTTAATGAAGGTTCGAGGAAAATACCCATCATTATTTGGTGCCGAAACCCGGGATCTCTCACCTTCCCCCGCTGTCAGGCAGAGGAAGACACGCTGAATCCGTGCACGGCCAGAGTCAACTGGACCTGGAAAGAAAGACCCAGGAAGCAAAATTCTTTGCTGGGCCAGCGACGTAGGTCCGACTTTGTCTGCCAACGGCGGAGTGACGAGATCCGACTGGACAACCCGAAAACTACAGAAATGTAGGTGAATTTTAAAATGACTATTTTAGAGGTTTGAGAATCCTTGTTAAACAGCGTTTTAACTAAAACTCTGAGGTTTAAGAATCCTTGTTAAACAGCGTTTTGACTAAAAATCTGTATTCAAAGAAAAAAAGAAAAAAAAAAGGTTTGAGTCCTTGTCAGATACCAGCTTGACTAAAGAAGTTATAAGGGTTAGAGTCCCAGTTGACAGAGTTTCAACTAAAGGCAAAAGGTAAGGCTCTTAGAGCCTCCTTACTTAGAGGACACCTCTTAAGGGTAAGTCCTCACATAGATAGGCTGCTTTGATGTGTGTGTGTGCGTGAAAGAGTGATTGGAGGTTTAAATACTGCTCAGTATTTTACCTCATATAACACAGTAGGGTTGTAAGCAGCAAACCTCTTGTGGATGCAAAGGCGAGATTCTCCCACTCAAAA